TTTTATTATTAAAACAAATGGAAAGGGATGTTGGGTGGGAGTTGATCACTTTAAAAAATGGTAATGACTATTCTATACTAATATTATATTTAATTAGTATAAAGTAAAGTAAGTTGAACTTTGAAAGTTCAATAGTAAAAGTTAGTGAGTATAAGTATAGTCTATAGTCTATAGTCAGTATAGAGTACTATATTATTAATTATAATTATATATAATATATAGCCATAGTCGTAAAAAAATAATATGGAACTGTAAAATTTAACAGTTGAAAACAACAGTTGGTACCAAGTTCAATGAAGACTCTTGCTATGCAGCTATATTAAGCATATATTTTGGAGCATGTAAGCTACAATTGCATTTAAGGAGATTTATGGACCATCCAATCCGTGTTTATAATCATGTTTTCATTTTGTTGTATCATGTGATTTATCAGTAGTGTATACTAATTACCCTAACAATAAATTTACCTGCAGATTGTATGTTAATATTAATATAATTTTTTTATTATTTTAATTTTGGGGTAAAGAAAAAAACAATTAATTGAATATTTATTTACCTTACTTTTATTTCAATGTTTTTTTCTTGTTCTTTTTGTTTGTTTGTTGTTGTTGTTTTTTTTTAAATTACGGACGGTAAATGCTTACACTGTAGACTGTAGAGGGAACAGTCAGGCTATGAACTCAGGTCAGAGTAAAAAAGTCAAAGGACAAAGATCACCAAAGTGCATCAGCAAGAGACGGTATCACAATATTATAATTATAGGCTTTATTATTGTATATTTAATCATAATAATTTATAAATGTAAATGTGCCTTAGCAGAATAATTGCAAAGGTCTATTTAACTCATTCTCATTATTAATGAAAGTGCACTTCAGGTGCGTATATTATTTCTTAACGAATTTCTTATTTTCGCATAGTGAATGATAGTGTAGTGTGTAAACATTTCTTCACATGTGAAATATGTGTAGTGTAGTCTTTATTAAATTAACTACTGCAGACTACAGTACAGGACATCATATTCACATTATACCTCGTTTTCTTTATTAGACTAAATTTTCTATTAGATCATGCCACTAAAAGGGATTCCCAACCAACTGTCGCCCGAGCTTTTAAAAGCACTTGCTGAAATGGGACATGGAGATGAAATAAGTAAGTTTAGTAAGTTAAAAATATTATTTCTACCATCTCTCATTAATCTTTGAGACTTTTCACATTTGTCCATCTCTCATTAATCTTTGAGACTTTTCACATTTGTTTTCATTCATTGTATCGGTGTAGTGTATGATTTATTTTCTCAGTTTCTGATTCCCAAATTAGGTTTAAGATCTACTTCAACAGCAGCATGTATTTGAAATACTAATACTAATATTGAACCCCTAAATCTACTTCTAAGATGTGAGGCAGCAATTTTCAAGATGTTTGAGGGGTACAGAAGGCTAGAGAAACAATATCCAAATAGAAAAATAATGGACATAATGTAGACCACACTATAGAACAAAACAGTATTAGAAATTCAAAAGAAGCACCACCTTCCAACATTCAGAGAAGACTTACAAATAAAACTTAAGACTTTATCCCTTAAATTAACATCTGCAAACTGCTTTCAAGACAGACCTGATCAAAAAGATAGATAAGAAAAGTGGGAACATTTACGCACAGTAACACAATAATAATAATTGCAGAAAAAAAAAACATAGCATCCTACACAGAGAATTTAAAAAAATTTAAAAATTTAAGATGGAACAACTTCTAAGGAACCTTACATGCAAGCTATGGTGTACAAATAGAATACCCAGACCAATCATGTGATGCACTATGCAAGCCCTGTGTGGCCATCTGCATTAATTATGAAGCAGAAGTGAGCAATCTTCATAGCTTACTACAGAAAAAAACAAAGAAATGACAATATCCTGTCAGATTACAAATCTAAACTTCAGGTGGCCGAGTATGAAATCTTAACAACAACAACAGTAAAATCCTTACTTTGAAAAGTAACGCCTTCTTCTAAGCCTGAAGTGTCAAGCTAAGCATACAATTGATACCAGGACATCACATTATACCTACATAGTATAACAGAGCAGACAAACTAGCGAAACAGACGGCATCCAATGAACAGCCAAACATACCTGCATACTAAATACTGCAAAGCAGATTATCAGAACAAAAATGAAGAATGGTTAAATGGATGTACTATGGGCTCAAAAGAAAGATGTGTGTTCACATAGTGCCTAGCCCAGACCCTAAAGATCTAACAAATTGCTCCAAAGACATAAAAATTTCATAATTTTTCACCTGCCCACAGATTACAGAGAACTTAATCCTCACCTTAACCTAATAAAACTAGATAAAACACCAATGACGTTATAGAATTTAGTACTAACAAGTAATAAGTAGTTGAGCTTCAGAAAACAGTTATCTATAGACAAAATTAAATGTTAAGTACGGTATTCATGGTCCAAAATGTGAAGCAAGTATTCATGTTTGTGTCCGGTTGTTTGACCAATTTTCCCACTAATTTTCTGAAGCTTTGTGCACAAAGTATTGTGTATCAATAAAATTTCTTTGCCAATTTTACACATTTTTAAATCTAATCAAGCAAAATCTGTAGATTTCTTTAAAAATAAATTATAAAGTAAATATGTATTTAGTACGTTATTATTCACTGATTGTCATATGAAGTGTTCATTTAACTTAATTTTTGCAAAGTGATTTTTGAAGCATAATAAAAAAAATGTTTACTTAAAGATTTAAATACTTGAAGGAAAATTTAATCTATATCACATTCACAATAATAATTTCTAAATTAAAAATACATAGGGTACATGTTTTAAATTTAAATTGCACACTGAAATCTGTTGTGTTTGCTAATTTTGCAGGTCATACAGTGTTGAGGATACATTGTCTTTGACTTTTGCAATAATCTCTTTTTAAAAATTGCACCTGCTTATTTGGTATTTGCTTGCATATTCTGTTCCAGTATTTTAAATACATATTTAGAAGCCATGGTGTAATTGCAGATTTGCTATTGTGAAACCATAAAGAATACAATTATGAGTGACTTGTTAAAACTGTGTGAAGTAAATAAATATTGCAACCATAGCAAACAAATTAGTTTATAATGCCGTACAAATGTTGGCCCCTCTGATCTTTTTATTGATATAGATAGTGTGTTTTTTAAATATTTTTTGAAATTTTAAACAGAAATACACCTTGCTCTGTTGCCTTAATGCCTGTGTATATACTTTCAGTTCTAGCTGATATACATTTTCCAACAACTTCGATATGTGCATGTGGACCCAGGCAGTTAAGGGCTGATGGTATGTAATTTTGAAATGGTATAAGCTATAATAATAGAAATAGAGTGTATCTAAGGAATACTCACTTGAACAATTACTTTTCTGAAGCAATGGAATTTTTTAGGAGTAACCATTTCTGACCACAAATAGCTCTACTTGACCAGACACAACCATGGACTTTAAATTTTAAAGACAATCTTTTCATTTTATTACTTATAGATAAAAAAGATATTCTTATTCTTTAGCAGCACTACATCAAAGTTGTCTAGAGCAGGGGTCTCAAACTCAAATCATTTGGGGGCCGCAGGAGGTAGAGTCTGAGTGAGACTGGGTTGCATCAAGTATTTCAAAACAAATCGATTAAGAATTCAATAATGTACAACTGTTACAATCTGCTCAGAACCATAACACAATTTTGTGCAGAATGCCCTGAAATTTTCATAGGCAACACTGACAAGCTACCCCTTGTCTTGTAACTTCTTCTTAAGTATATTCAGCTCCTGCGTAATGTCAACAAGAAAACCTAAGTCCATGAGCCATTTGGGATCACTTAGTGCAGAAACAACCATCTATCCTTCTTCATGAAGGATTTAAATGCTAAAACAGTGGGCAGGAGCAGGCCATATTTATGAATTATTGATGCGAAGCAAGATGCTATTGTAGGAAGAATGTATTTTTTATTTTTTATCGTAGGAAAGGCCTTTTTAACTAGCCCTATTTTGAAAGTGATCAAGCTGACAGGCTCGGAATTTCCATCACTTGTAAACACTACCGGCAATTTTAATAGGGATTCTTTGATACTGTGTCAGATTGCTACGATATACACAATCATGGTTGTGCATTACCCACTAACTGATCTTTTAAACTTTTCAAAAAACAGCATTTTGGTAATGTTTGTCAAATAAAATGCTATAAAATAAAAACTTTTAGTCCCATTTTAAAATGGTTTTTATCATTATAATCAAGTTCCAAATCTAAACCAATATAATTCAATTAAACTAGTGGGTGCGATTCTACTGAATGCGGGCCACAAAATATCATCTTGTGGGCCGTAAATGGCCCGCGGGCCAAGAGTTTGAGACCCCTGGTCTAGAGGGAAAGAAATTAAAACAATTTTCAATATTAAGATCTTTGCCAAAGTAATAAATGCAAAAAGTTTTACTTATGGAACCACAATTTTATTTTTAATCAATCGCAGGAGCATTTGATAATTTGAGCAGGTTTGTTTTCATCTTTCATAACAAGTAAAATAAAAGATTATTTCTTTTTTTAATTTATATTCTATTGAAAAATTATTATACAAAAACAAATTATTTCTCTCATGGTATTGTCAGGGCAGAGTGCAACAGACTTACTTCAAGCTGTAATGAAATTATTTCCACTCGATCAGTATGAGGACTATCCAGTAAGATTACAAGCATTTACATATTTCTCAATAAATTAGTGTTAGGGTACATTTTCATTGGATCTGTTTTTGATAATCTTGTCTTAATTAATAAAATACAAGATTTTATATTATAAACTCATGGATCGTTGGATATTTTTTTTAGTTTATTCCTAGATATACCAAACTCCATTGCTGTAGTTAATGAATTATTATTGTTTTATGCTTAATAACTTGATTGTTGCTTAACACAGGTTGCCAGAATGGATTTAGTAGCTTCAGATAAAATAAAAGGATTGAAGACACCAATATGGGACAAGTATCAAGAAATATTGAACGAAGCTGAGGGGAAACAGGTAGAAACATTTTAAGCAAACAAGAAGATGCCCCTTTTACTCACTAAAATACTGACATATTTTAATTGAATATTCTTGTAATTTCAAGCTATTGAATTAATTTAAAATAAATATTGTTGAAGGTAATAGTGTTTTTTTCAACAGCAGTAACATACATTTTCATTATGTTTGAACGGTATTTATACTATGCATATTTACAGGTAAATATTGAATATGTGGAGAGATTTGCTTTTTATGAAAGAGCAAAAAAAGCGTTTGCTATTGTTCATACAGGGTAAGAATAAATTAAGATAACATCATTTTATTACCCTAAATAAACTGTAATAATATGACTATTTTTACAATTAGTTGATCATATTTCTTTAATTTTAAATTGGAGGTGAAACTCCATACTTTTAATTATAGATATGAATTTGATTAAAATTTATAAGCTATTTCAATGCAAATTAATAAAAACACATTTTTTACTTTACTTATTAAAGTAAAGTTAAATAAGACTAATTTTTTGGTACCTTTTTTCTCTTATTAAAGTTAATATAAGTTTCATCTTTTGTACCGGGTACACAAGTGGATCAATGGGAGGGATATCAACTTAAAGTTACATTTGTGTGATTATTTGAATCCATTGATATTTAGTCTCTGGCATTTTAAATTTCGGAACTTATTTCTTTGTATTTTAATATTGTATGAACCACTAATTACTATTTTTCTTTTAATTTTCAGTGAAAATCAACAATATGCGAACATTATTCTGAAGAAAGGCTGTCTTGTTTGAGAAAATTTTAGCACTAAATGAAAATAATTCTCAAAATGGCTCTGTTGGAAATCATCCCAATTAAAAAGAACAAGTCTTGCTGAGATGCATCTTTTTTGTTCTTAACTCTTTTATTGAATTTTAAGATATTTTAAAACATCTAAACAAAGTTCAGATTCATTTACTTATGAAGCATTGCTCCAGATTTTATGTTATTAAAAGTTTACTTGTCTTTACATTGTCATTGTTTTGACTATACATCATGAGATTTACTTAAACTGCCTTATAACAATACTTAACTGTTGTCATTTATGATTTTTTAACATTATAATTTAAAAACATGGTGTGTATTATTAGGTATTTTAAAAGTGGGTTTTTACATGAATGAATTGTTATTAGCCTGTTGATGTGGAATTTTATTAAAATTGGTTAAATTTAAATTTAGTTATTGTGTTATTTGTTTCTAAAGGTTGTAGGTTTTGATATAATGTGCAACAAAGATTGACCTAACCGAGCCTTGCAACCTTTTGATATTAGAATGATCATAAGCATTTTTATCTGGATGGTTCAAACTACGATCCACGCAAATAGTTTATGTGGCCTGTGAATGAATTCACACAAATAGTTCATGTGGCCTGTGAATGAATTCACACAAATAGTTCATGTGGCCTGTGAATGAATTCACACAAATAGTTCATGTGGCCAGAGAATAGGTCCACAAAACAAGTTTTTAAGCTTTCCCCAAAACAATTGAACACCATTTGAATGATATAAATTATCCCTGCTGTATTATAGTTATGGATGACTATGGACAGATTTGAAAGTGCAGTTTAGAACTGATACACTGCTTGTTTGTGTTTTAATATTCAACTAAAATGCTTGTCCTACTTTGAGTTTGTCTACGTAAGGACTTTTTGCACACATTACAAGTGTGATAAGTGTTACCAACATCCCATAATATACAGGTAACCAATCAGAATGTTACTGTGTCTAATTGCCATCTAGTGTCAACATTTTTTATTATACATAGAGATGATTCTCCGAGAATGCCCAAAAACGTGTCTCACAGATAATTGGTGAGGTAAAAATTACAACTTTAAATACTTAAAGAAAATTGATGGTGTATCAAAGATCAAACGATCTTTGTCTATTGTGGCATTTTAGAACTTTGAATGGGCAACTAATTAAGTTAAAATGGCAATTCAAATGACTAAGGCAATTGCTGGCTCCTACATAAGAGGGTCATGTCACAACAATAATGTGAAAGAGAGAGGTACATCTAAAAACAAAATGTCTGAAAAGTGTCCCCAAAAAAAACAGTTAATTTTAATTTACTTGTAACAAACAAAGAAACATAATTTTATGAATAGCAAAATTTAATAGCAATTTTGTTTTCACAATTTCTTTTTAATACAAACTGGATATGAAACAAAAACATCTTGGAACCTTTTATCAAGGATTACTGTTCCCTTTTTCTAAAGTATCTTCAGGTTGTTCTTCGACTTTGTCTTGTAATTTTTTACGATTGCGCATAGCTGCCAAATAACTAACAGGATGAACAGGTAACAGACCACTAAGTCCTGTCAATAAAATATAAACATGACTTGTTTAATGAATTAAGACAATACAAAACAACACAAGCAATATCCAGTTCTACAGTTGTGATGTGAGCTTTATTAACCTCGTTTCGCATATTCTTAAAATCATTTAGTAATGAAGTTTATTAGTCATATTTCTCATAATATATGTTAGGTTATCTTTTAAAATGAAAAATTTAAAGACCATTCTAAATGATGACCCCCTAAAACTTATGCTAGTGCCTGGAAACTCAGATAAGGTGAAAGCCCTGAAAATGTCCAAATCTATGTTAGGAAACCTGTGGTGAGCAAGGAATACAAGATTCTTACCTAATAATTTTTCTACAGGTTTACTCATTGCAACACCATTAGCAAGATGAAATTTAATACGCTCCACATCCAAAGAAACCACCTTTTCATTGTAAATATTAGGCATGGGATCATACGTTCCTAGTTGCTCTGCAGGTTTTGCATCACGTGGCGATTTATTTGTTAGCAAAACTATATGATAAAAAGGTCTGTTGGTGCAACCATGAAGTGCAAGTTTAATAATGTCAAAGGTTTTTGATATTAACCTAGGCATTCTCAAGTACTGTGTCCTGAAAGAAACAAATAAAAATAATTATAACATATAGCTTTTTAAAAATGTACAATTAAATGCAATCAGTATCTAGAGTCTATTTTCCTACTGAGATGTTTTTCTTTTTTTCTTTTTTTTTTTTTAAATGGTGCTTATTATTAAAGTTGATCATATTTCACTTCCAATGTAGACTGTGTCATCATGATTAAGTAAAATTTCCCAGGATGTGTTTGTCAAGTTTTAAGTACTTTTAGAATTTTTTCTTTACTTTTATTTACAAGTCTTACAAGTTTACAAGTGTTCAGCTTATGGCAAGAACACTATTTTAACAACTTCAGTTAAGTTTAATTTTTTTTTTAAATTTCATAAACCTAAAACCATGAAGATTATTCACAGCTGTGCTTTAGACTTTGGAACTAATGAGACCTAATGATACTATTGACAGCTGTGCTTTAAATGTTGCAACTAATGACAGCTGCGCTTTTTAGATGTTGCAACTAATGATAGCTGTGCTTTTGATGTTGCAAATAATGATAATGACAGCTGTGCTTTAGATGTTGAAACTAATGACAGCTGTGCTTTAGATATTGGAACTAATGACAGCTTTATGTAAATGTAATAGTAAAATATGATGCCAACTCATCTGTGTTCTGTGTAACAACTAACCATTATTATTATTCCTTATTGTAAATTGTACAATCTTTGGTAAGCCCAATCTTTTTATACCTAACATCACATGATCACTCCATTTCTCCAACCAATAATCGCACCAAAAAATAATTTTTAGGGGCACAAATTTGTTAAGATCTGGGGGGGGGGGGGGGGGGGGAAACCATTTTTAAAAAAGTGGCTTAATTTTAAAAGAAAAAACCTCATTTATAAATGAAAAAAGTGAAGTCTAAGTTCTATGTTACTATAACTATAACTATAATACTATAAACTATAATAGTAATAGTCAATAGTCAATGGTCCGACCATGACCAAGTCATGTCCATCATCGTAGTCATAGTCAGCAGTCGGCACTCTTAAAGTTCAAGATAGCTAGTGAAGTTAAAAATCGTTAAACTTCAAGCTCACCTGTATCCTCTTGTCAGTTTCTCTCTTACTCATATAATGTTACATCCAATGGCAGACAACAAAATATCAACTTCAAAATTATCATTAAAAAATATTCTGCATATTTGTGTCCTTGTGTGTAATGCAGGTTCAGTTTTTTTAAAACGCAAATTTACTGCTGTTACTTGCTGCCAAATATAATAATGGGCAAAAATAAAATTAACCACCAGCGGCCAAACACTGTTATGTTGGCTACATTCTGGCTGCGATTCAACGTCCTGGCTCATCCGGAATCAAAACCAAAAATAATATTTTCTAGTTGCTGAATCATTTTGCTTTGATGTCGTCTTTGGAGGATAAATCTATCTGGGATGATGGCGAGGTATATATTTATTTATACTATCTTTTTTTTTTTTTAATTAAGTCTGCTTAGTAGTTTTATTATTAATTGTAAAATGTCTTTATTGTCTTTTGAGATTTCTGCACTTTTCTAGCCGGCACCTATTCTCGATACTTAGTAGATTTCTTTACCAATTAAAATTACGAATATAATATATAGATCAAATTCCAAATAAAAAATTGAAACATTTTTAAGGGGTCATCCATTAATTTCGTCAACAATTTTTACACAATTTTTACCCCCCCCCCCCTTTTTGTCAANGTTGTATTTAATTATGTCATCGACTCATGTCAACATTTTATACCACCCCCCCCCCACACAAACACACACACACACACACACACACACAAAATGAATTATAATATAAATACATTTATAAATACATTTTACTTTGTGCTGATCTATTTTAATGACACAAAATTGTAGGAAATTTATTATTTTTATTACATCTTTAGCTTGTTAATCAACAAGTTAAAAAGTTTTTACACTTAAATTTATTTTAAATTTTTTAATGCAGAATCAATGAAATGGTTGTTAAAGTTAAAGACTAAATATCATTGTTTGTGGAAGTATAAATATGATTATTGTCAGTATAGCTGACAATTATAGTATATTTTCTAGCTGCTATCATCTTCCCATGGAGTTAGCCCCCTCGAATTCGCAAGTTTTATTTGAATTGCTATAATATACTGTGGCGCCTCCAGTAATAAACAATGTAACAAGCCGACCAAGTTTTGTTTTTTGCCCCTCCCTTCTTTAAAGAAACCTGAAGTGACGCCCCTGATGGGCATAATCTATAGTAGCTGCACACTGTAAAGTTGACTGATTATAAATGAAGAAATCTATTCAAATGTAGGCCAAGATGCTCTCCTCAGCTAATGGACGGAAACAGATCAGAAGTGTTGAGACAAAATAACTATTTTATGAATAAAATAGCACAATCATAATAAAATAATAAAACTTGAATTTTCCAGCACCGACGCCCATTTCCCCATAAAAATTGTTTTAGTAGTCACCCTTGCTGTGCAGTAGGGCCTACTAAATTTTTTTACTTGGCCTGCTAGTTTAAATTTACATAACCTGAAGGAGGCCTATACTTGACTAAAGGTTTTAATAGGCCTTCTTATGGCCTAATATTCCTATATAATTTATACTGTATGCTGCAAAAATAAGTGAATTTAGTGAATATTTAGTATAAGTCAGCCACAGGTCAAGATAATTAAATATAAATCAAAGATTCTAATCACTGAGGCTAAATTATTGTAAATAGCATAGCTCAAAATTTTCTCTTTCAAGTTTAGATCATCAATGGTAATCTTGTATTCATTATCGGCCATATTGTAAATTTCTAAATTTGAGAGATGGGTGCATTCAAGGTTAAATTAGGAGGGAATGTCCATTGAATGGGTTATAGTTTGTAGAAATATTGTCAAATAAACATCCTTCATAAAGAATTAATTTTGCATGACTAGATTTTGACGGTGTTGTTTTGCAAATATACCATTATTCACCACTGATAAGCAAAAGTTATGAATGATACAACGCAAATTTAATTTTGAAAATATATTGAAATGTATCAGATTATTTTTATTGAAAAATGTGGGATCTCTCTAAGTCAATGTACTTTTCATATATACATTTAGAAATAGTCTCCCTTAATTTCCCCCAAATTTTTCGAAGTCTGTAATTTTAAAGCAGGCCAAAACCCTTTTGTTTAGCCAAAATTTTTGTCATACATTATATATAATAGTAAACCCTTTGAAAATTTTAACTTATAAAAGAAATTCAATTCGATTGTACTCAGTTTTTAAATCAAATTTTTTTAGATTATTAAAATTTATAACCCTTCACATAAATATTAGTAGATTACAATTCTTAAAACTTTATTCATGTTCAAGGAGTCAGTTGCAGAAGAAGTTCTACGCATGCCTACAGATGAAATTGTTGGCAGAACCAGGTTACTTGATAATGAGATAAAGGTAAAATAGTTCATATCAAATTTATGGGATTAAAAAATTGACTGTCCATCCACAATTAGAAGAAAAAAAAAGTAAAATATGCATATCTCATTTTCATGAGCTATTTCAGTTTTTGCATTTTAATTATCAACTTAATTGAAATAGTGCAGAGAAGAAATATTCCATTTAAAAGGTTATAAATCTGGTAAGAAATATATCTAAATTAAAGTTGTGAAATTCATGTCTGTTTGAGTATCTGATATTTCCTATGCTGTACTGTTTGTCAAAGCAATTAAAAATCAATTTTAATACATGATTTCTGTTCCAGATTATGAGGTCTGAAATAATGCGCATACAACATGAGTTACAAGCCCAAAAAGAAAAAATAAAGGAAAATACTGAAAAAATTAAAGTGAATAAGACACTTCCTTACCTGGTTTCAAACGTGATTGAGGTAATGATTGAAAATAATACATTTTCTCTAGCATTTAACAAAGGGATATAGATAACTTGTGAATTGTTCAGGTTATGGAACCATTTGTTAACAGTTTCTGTTAGGAATGGTAAAGCAAATTATTCTAATGCATATCATGTTCTGTTTAAGTTGTTGGATGTTGATCCTCAAGATCAAGGGGAGGAGGATGGAGCTAACATAGATCTTGACTCTCAAAGAAAAGGAAAATGTGCTGTCATAAAGACATCTACACGGCAGGTATAATCACAATCTTGATATTTTCTATTTGTAATTTGTGTATATATTTATTTTCTCATTTAGGTGATTTACATACCATAGTTGCGAAGAAAATGTTAAATTAACTTTCAAACACTGAAGTAGTAATCATAGTATCATGCTCATAGTGTATATGTGAATATGGACTATATTATCATTAGAAGTTTTATATTATTATTAAAGTTGCTTTTTGGCTAGAAGATTGTTTGCAAATACCTTTCTTAAACTTTGTCTCCCAAGACATACTTTCTGCATGTCATTGGACTAAAAATTGATAAACTTTTGTTTAAATTTGCCTTTTTAGACATACTTTTTGCCTGTTATTGGACTAGTCGATGCCGAGAAACTGAAGCCTGGGGATCTTGTGGTATGTTACACATTAAATACAAATTCATTACAATATTTTTTGTGTCAAATAAATAAGCAATTTTCTCTTTGTTTAAATGCTGATGTTATTTTCTTCTACTTAAATTGTTAACATTTTATTTTTAATTCTAGGGTGTGAATAAAGACTCGTATTTGATCTTGGAAACATTGCCTGCAGAGTAAGTTGCTCTTTGTTTACCTATCTCAGAAGGGTAGCCTTCTTTTTCTGCTGTAATTTTAATTCAGATGAATTGGATTCTTCTATATAAAGTTTTGGTTTGTTCATAAATGCATTTAAACTAATTGAAGCTTGAAGATCTGTATTATTCTCACACACATATCCTGCACTTAATTCAGCAGTGATTCAAGGATAGATGGAAGCTTTTAAAATGTTATGGACTACTGGTAAAAGAAGGAATGAAACTAGTTAATTATAATAAGGAATCAATACCCAATCTCAATGACCTTCTCACAATGTTAGTAGCCATCTCATATTCAGCCCTGATATGAAAAACAAGCCTCGCTATCACATTGGGGGTTAATTGTTTCTAACTTGGTATTTGTTATAAGTAAGGGATATTTAGATTTTCTAAACTATGATTAGCCCACTAATTGCAGAAGTCTGCGTTTTAACTTGAATGTTCAGGCTAAATCCTCATTGCTATCATTTCTTGGGCATTCTGATTTGAAATAAGTCGAATTGGCTCTAAATATAAGCAATGTGATCATCGAGGGTTTTTTGAAATGTGAAAAACAATTTTAATTTTAGAATAGTTTGACATGCCAATATTCATCACAGATCAGTTGATCTAACTTGGCTTGAATTTAATCAATTATTGTTTTGAGTGAAATAAAAAGCTGACTAAAATTTGATATAATGATGATTTCTTGAAGGTATGATTCAAGGGTAAAAGCTATGGAGGTTGATGAGAGGCCAACAGAACAGTATGCTGACATTGGTGGTTTAGATAAACAAATTCAAGAGGTGAGATGTCTTTTTTTGAAATACCTCCTTTTTGGAAATTTTGTTTTAACAAATTTTACACTATCTGCGCCACTCATTTTTAAGTGTTTTTGCATCACAGGAATGATAGTGGCGGCGGTGTAAATATAAAAAAGGAGTGCAAAAAAAACAAGGCTGCTAAAAAGTAGTTAAAAATTGGCAAATAGCATGCAAATTTAATTAAATTTTGTTCTAGAAAAATCTACAATTCTTCATAACTTGAATGAACCAGTATCCCTTGCTCAAGCATAATTTCCACAGTAAATTTAGTCTCCTCTAACAGGGGCGTAAAAATTCACCTCTAAATTTCTCCCCTATCCCACCCCACCCCCTCTCAAATCCTCAAACCTAAAATCTGTGGCCACATATAAAAAGCTATTAGTGTGCTACAGCTACTACACACTGTATTGTACTAAGAAAATTGCAATTTCTAATAAAAATATTACAATTATTTTTTGAATATTCAAAATAAAGAAACCCAAACTTACAGTTTCATTGAATACACACTTTACGTTAGGTTTCACCAAATATCAAATCCAAAAATAGTTGTAAGAAAAATCAGTACAATGCCCATTCCAAAATGCTGGCCTTGTTTTAAATGTAATTACTTACTGCCCAATGAAATATCAATTTAACACATTCCATAATATTTTTAAAAAAAAAGAAAAGTTCACTCTAGTAACAATACAAGAATAAACAAAAGACAAAATTTTCTGTGTAGGAAAAAATCCTACACAGAAAATCAAAGTGGCACGGATTATGTAGTGTAAAACGACTTGACACATTATTAAAATGTCTCATTTTAGCTGATTGAAGCTGTGGTTTTACCAATGACACATAAAGAAAGATTTGAGGCGCTTGGGATTCAACCTCCAAAAGGTACAATTATCCAAATAGGATTTTTACATGGTAATCTGTAAAAAGAATATGCATTTGTTGGCATTCATTGAGGGCATTGGTCACTGTTGCTCCCTGTATAGGATATCTATGACTTGATATATCTGATGTCACATTAGTTTTCTTTGTGCACCCATCCCTTGCAGATCTCCAGAGTACATCCAATAGATACTGTAATGTTTGTTTTTTTCTTTCAATGCAGGTGTGCTATTATATGGAGCCCCTGGTACTGGAAAAACTCTCCTAGCTCGAGCCTGTGCCGCCCAAACCAAGTCTACATTCTTGAAGCTAGCGGGACCCCAGCTGGTACAAATGTTTATTGGAGATGGAGCCAAGTTGGTCAGAGATGCATTTGCTTTAGCGAAGGAAAAACAGCCTGCAATAATATTTATTGATGAACTTGATGCTATAGGTACATTTTCACATTACCCTTCATTACAGCTTTTTGCAGAGCTAATTTACTATTTATAGACTTAAGAGACCATGAGTTGACAGAATCATATATGTCTTTTCATTGTTTGGTGGTCAGGAACCAAAAGGTTTGACAGTGAAAAGGCAGGAGATCGTGAAGTACAGAGAACTATGTTAGAGTTACTTAATCAAATGGATGGATTTCAACCCAATTCTATGATAAAGGTATGTTCATTAAAAATGTCAAGGCAATGTTGATTTAATTTATTCTCTAGCTTGGCTTCATTTGTTTAACTCTAAAATTTAATGCCCTTTAGTTTTATTAATTGTAAAAAAATTTACTGTTTCTCATTCTTAAGGTCATTGCAGCAACAAACAGAGTAGATATATTGGATCCGGCTCTATTGAGATCTGGTCGTCTGGACAGAAAAATAGAATTTCCACAACCAAATGAAGAAGCAAGGGCTCGTATATTACAGATTCACTCTAGGAAAATGAATGTGAAGTAAGAAAGAAATCAGTGGGTTTAAACAATTTAAAATCTTTTTAGTAACTAAGTCCACATTCAGCATTTTAACATGTTAAAAAATTGGTCTCTAATTTATTATATTATAATAATATATGTGGTTTTTTTCTTTAGCAAAGATGTGAATTATGAAGAATTGGCCAGGTGCACCGATGACTTTAATGGAGCTCAGTTGAAAGCAGTGTGTGTGGAAGCTGTAAGTGTTAAACTTTTATCTTGATCTTGATCTTTTGTTCTTTCTCTTTAACCCTTTACAGTGCCCGAAATGGCCGATTTTTTCCTTAAGCCTACAGTCCGTTGCGACCAAACCCGCCCGTTTGGAGGTTGTTTACTTTCGTTATTAGCACAAATCCATTGTACATTACTAATTATAGTTCTACCGGAAGAAAGCTTAGTTCTCAGAATTTATTTTGATACTAGTTTGAACGCAGTGTGTTTAGTGGTTCATTTTCTGCGATTTTTTAAAAAGTTGCAATTTTTTTTCTGTAAAAAATGGCTTTCCAAGCCTTGGATAAAATTTTGAAATAACTCTAATGAAGCTTCATTATTTCATGAGTCTAGAAGCAATAGTAAAGAATATGATATAGACATTAATTTAAATGACGCTTCTAGTGATAGGGATTCAAGTGAAGAAGATAATAGTAATAGTAGAGACGTCGATGAAAACGGACGTATGGATTCCACTCTGACTGATCAGCAAGATCATGAGTGGTCTAGGAATTTTTCACAAATCAAAGTGGGAGGGTCCCCCGAAACTGTTTTTAAGTTTAACTTTTGCTTCAATCATTTCTTTGTATTTAGGTATTTTTAATTTTATTTTCTTGCTTCTAGATTATTTTCTGTAAATTAATTAGATAAAGAACCTTCACTTAAAATGGAGTTATGTCCCCTTGCTTGGGCGCTGGGAGTAGAAAAGGCTGAATAGGCTTGGACTGTAAAGGGTTAATTGGTTCATATACTTAAGCCTAAATGTTAGAGGCAGATATAAATATTTTAAAATTGACATCCTTTTTATTGTGTACAGACATAAGAAGTTTTTAAACATTTCTTTTCCCAGGGAATGATAGCAATGAGGAGAGAAGCTGTTGAACTGACACATGAAGATTACATGGATGCCATTATTGAAGTCCAAGCTAAAAAGAAAGCCAATCTCCAGTACTATGCTTAAGTTGATTATGATGACTGACAGTGATGAGTTTTACTGAAATGGTACCTCTGTGTTATTTATTTTCTTTTACATTTGAATAACCGATCTGTTTTGAAGAATAAAATCTTTCTTATGACTTGCATTGTTTTGTTTTTTTAATTTTAAAAAAATATTTTAACATCCACCATTATCTATGTTAGTCAATTTAAATTCAGTTTTTGCTTCAGGATAATTTATTCTCTTCTCCAAGAAATAAATTCATCACTAGCTATGCTGAATTGAATCAGCTTTTTATTTTTATTTTTTTGAGTGGGAGCCATTTTAATAAATTATATCTGCTAAGAAAGATATTGTTGGCCCATGTTCATCTGTTCCAGTTAACCAACCCACAGTATTTCTGCATTTCATCTCGGTCCAACACCGGTTTATCTTTTCTTTCAGTTATTTTGAAATTATATAGTTCCAAAGAATTTTGTTATGAAAATTATTATAGGTCAGTTATGTGTTGACACTTATTGGTACCATTCCTGTAGATCTTTGAATATGTCCTATTTACACAAGTGTTGTTTATTTTTTAAAAACTATGGTTCTTGAAATATTATTGTGGAGGTAAAATATCAGGTTCTTTTTTAAGAAAACAAACACTTTGAACATTGACAAAGTCAAAGATAATCTTTTTTTTAAAAAAAAAGGTTTACAACTAACTGTACCAAAATATGTACATTGGTATTTAAAAGCCAGAATTGTCATATTCTATGTCTAAAAAATAAGGAACCAACCAATGCTGTCATGATAGTAGCCTCAAGAGTATCAGAACCTAATTTAGTCATGGTTGTCATAAAAGACATTATTGTATGCAAAATAATGAAATACATTTGTTTTTAAAAAATCTCAAATCTAGTGCCTTTTATTATTATTTGGAAGTGAGTAGGACACTTGAGCACTGAAAACAAAAAATTCATTTGAAGTAATTGAAGTCACAAACTTTGAATCTTCAGTCAAACCCTTTAAACACAAACTTCACTGTATGCACAACTGCCTCTATGTGTCTCTTCTTTCTTATCCATTTTGAATTCAGTAAAATGCATGTGAAGTATTTGGAAGATTATTGGAAACCTTTTCAACTAATGGGCTTTCAAGACACCAAGTTTCATCAGTGAAAACACATTTAATACAGTTGTATGGTATATTGTTAAAGTAAAATGTGCATAGAAATCTATGTATTTAATAATAATAAAAGTTTAAAAGATTAATGCGACCACTAATTCCACACTTCTATTAAATGCTCAGAATTGTGAAAAGTATGAATTATTTGTTAAGATGTTAGGGAATAATTTGAAAAGCTTAAGGGTGAGTGTGGGTTGGAACAGTTAAGATGGTGAGAGGGGATAGTTATAAATGGAGTCCTTCATTTATCATCCTAAATAATTGTTATATTGGTCTGCAGCCATTTTTGAAGATTATAAATTTATCTGCTTTGAATATATTTTGGAAGTCAATGGATTTTTTAAATGTCATATTTATAGACTTTAAAAAATGGAACTGAATCTTCCTTGACAGAGCTGCTAGTTGCCGACCACTGGTCTAGCTAGCATTAATTTGATTAATCATAAAAGAGTTTGTTTGTGTAAAGCTTATTAAAACCTACATTCTTACTAGTAAACAAAACAGAAAACACAAGGTATATTAATATTTGTGTTTAAATAACACAATTTAATTCTAATTATACTATACCAAAGTATATCAAAATCATTAAAGTTAACTGAGTCAACTACATCCAACTTGCAATATTGGTCAACATAAAGATGTGTAACAAAATACATATTTTTTACATGCAATTGCATAATGTAAAAAAAAAATGATGATTTTTCAGAAATGTATGTATAATATATAAAACTAAGAAGACACTAATAAAAATGCCAGAACCAGTTACAATTTATTCCATAGAAGTGACTGTAACAGGTAATACAGCCAGTGCTCGACTTACGATCTATGCAACTTACAACCATTCGACTTTATGACCACAATCACTAGCCATATTAGATTTCAGATGCATTTCTGCCTCAATTATCAGTCCAATGGTGTTGTCTGCAATAATCGGCGGTTGTTAACTAAGGAGAGGGAGGCATGATGCTATGATGATGATAGGGTAATAAGGGGAGAGACTGCAATCAGGTTAGCACAATATAAAATGAGTAAAACAGAGTAGAGTTAAACCTGAAAAAAGGAACGCAACAAAACAACGAACGTTGCTGCCCACGGATACTACTTCTAAGCTAAGTGCTATTTTTTAATTTTATTTTTATACCGTTTTTTTGTTTTGTTCGCTGACGAAGGCTTTCTGCTGACACGTTCGTTGTTTTGTTGCGTTCCCTTTTTCAAGTTTAACCCTACTCTGTTTTACTCATTTTATATGATGATGATATGCTGCTAGCTGGCGTCATCAATTTAAAAAAAATAACACGGTCATGCTCAATAAACCTAGGTCCATTGACTTCCCCAAGCACGGCTAAAGCTTGTTGATGGATAAGCTCTTCAGAATTTGAAAATTAAACTCCCATAGAAAATTATGATTTATAACAATAATACAAAAAATTTATGATATAATTTAACTAAAATATTTTTAGAACCTCACTTCACATTACTGTACACATAGAGTACTTAACTTACAACCAAATCGTGTTACGACCGGTCTGTCAGAACCGATCGTAGCCGTAAGTCGAGCACTGGCTGTATTGAAAAATTAAATGCATCTTAAGTTTTGGGTGCTGTAGAATGCTATTAACTGTTAACAAGTATCTTTACATCAAACAAGGAACATAAATTTATCACATTTTTTCATAACTCCATATATGACCACAAGTAGTGCAGGTCTTTGAATAACTATCCTCCTCTTCATCATAAATTTCTTCTTCATACTCATGCTGATGACCTGACAGATCTTTTCTCCACAAGCTGCTTCTCACTGACATCCGTAACTCTGGAAAAATCATGTTTAACATGAGAGAAATTTTAAACAAATTTCCCCACCCCTAAAATTACCTGGCTTTGGGACATGTTAAATGTCATTTTGGTCGTTTTAGATTGACTTTATTTCATAATTTTTGTAATCTCTACAAGTTTGGGCTGATGGAATTTTGTTACTGGGGTTTAGACCAAAAAAAATTAATTGGTTATCACTGCCATTTTCATGACTGCGAAAAAAAATGTTAATTTCGTGATCTAGTTTTTAGAAATGACAGTTTTCTTTAATAAATTTTAAAAATATATAACAACATTTGGTGGAATATCTTTGTAACGCAAATTAAAAAGTTTATTCTTAGGCAGGTTCTGGTAATGTTTCGTTGCTGCATTCATGTACTGGCATCTTTGCAACGGTTGGGGATATGATGTTGCTATTCTAACAGCTCCTAGCTGATGCCAGGGCAGCCTTGAAGCTTTCGACCGATGTCGAGTTCACAGTGGCATCGTTCAGGAGGTTCCATGCTATTATTGTGCGTGGGAAGAAAGATTGTTGATACTGCACTGTGTTGCACTGAGGCACTTTGAAGCATTTGCTATTGTTTCTTGTGTAATTGTTTATTGGAATGTCAGTGGTGAAGTCGGTGTTCAGTGAGCGTTTTGCTCTGATCAGTCTACCCGGCTTCTGTGGGGTGAGGTACGTCCCTGCTGGCATGGCCGGCACCAGTCCCATGATCACTTTATATAAGAATATCAGGCGGAGTCCCTCTCGGCTGTCTTTAAGGGGGGGGGGGGTTGTCAAATCTTTTTAAGAGGCCAGTGACGAAGCCTGGGGTGGTGGATTTGTAGTCTCGAGCGATAAAAAGCACAGACTTACGTTGAATTAGCTCCATCCTGTCCACGACTTGCTTAAGGTGTGGGTCCCAGATGATGGCACCATATTCCAGCAGTGGTTTGGGGGTAGTTCAAGTCATCGTATGTATGCTTACCGGGTACATTTTTGCAATGCAACATTTTTTTAAAACAAAATATTTGCAGTTGCATTTACATGATCAAACTGATGGAATAACTTTATGAATCATCTTGACAGGAAGTGGATTAACTTTATGAATCATCTTGACAGGAAATGGAAGGTCTTTCATCATTTTGCCTGTTTTCTCATCTAATGGTATATTTTATTTGATTAACTATATCTAGTTTAAGGATTACATCAATCTACACTACCTGATTTTAAATATTAGGCATACATCTGTGATGAAACCAAAAGCTTGACATAAAATTCCAATACAGTGCTAATTTAAGAACACCTTGCTAGTGCTAGAACGCCCCCCCCCCCCTTACACTTTTTGGTTGTTTTAGTATAAATTGTCCCCCTTTATTGTCTTTAGTGTGCCTATAACTCACTGAGGACTGTGTCATGAAATGTGCTGTAAAAACCTCCAACCCCCTATGTCATGCATTAGCTTACTCATTACTCATGGGGAATTTGGATTACACATCTAAAATGTACTTCATTGTTCTCTATCAAACGCATTATCCAAATCAGTCGATGATAAATTATATACCGGTAACCTGAACTATAAATACTGTGATAGAATAAAGAAAGAGTCCTTCTAGATCATCATGCTATAGTGACCACATCATTACTTCATGAGTCGGAAGCCGGCCAATCTAATCTTCCTGGTTGCCATAGTGCAAGAAACGACTGCACCTTACCAGTTGGATTGAGGATACTTCCTGAGGCCGGATTCCAAGAACTCTGCCCAAAACTACACATCCGGAAGACCAAGCCTTAAGCCTACATCAATTAGGACTGCATGTTGCAAGGACTCTTCAGCCACAACACACCGCTTGGAAGTCCACACCCCAAAACGTACAGCTGGAAAAGCTATTCCACAACATACAGTGATGCCCAGTTTTGTTCTCGCCCTGAGAAGCCACACAGGAGAGATCTGGAGGAACCACTTCCAACACTGAAGTAACCTCATATATTGATCGATGAAGCCAGATCATCAATCATTTTATTTTGATAAAGTAAGTTGTAAATGGTCTGATCACTTTTATTACAAAGCAATGACTATGATGAAATGTTAGGCTTTACGGGTGACCAGTAACCATAGTCCTTAGAACATAAGATTGTAAATTGTATGCAAAAGTAGATCTAAGCCATTATTATTATTATTATATGCTATGAATTTTCATATCCTTAAACTTTTAATATAACTTCTATGAATTGCTGGGAATGCTATGTAAATAATTTTTTTTATTTTATGAAATTGGTTATAGATTTCTTTGATTCACATATATGTGAATATGGTTGAAATTATTTCCCTTTGTGCATGAATTGAATGAAACCTAAACCCCCAGCAGGTGTTGACACTTATGACTGTCATCCACCTTCATTGAATAATATAAGTCATTTCACCACAAGGGCGTAAAACTACACTAACTGATAAGCAAAAGAGAAATCATCAAAGTATTCTTAGGTAAACAAAATATTCATTTTACAAAGATTTTCTAGAAGATAGGAAAGATCCAGAGAAGCTCATTCTTGTAAACGGCAACAGAATTAGTGCACAATCGCGTTTTTTGCAAAGCACCTGGTCATCAAGATAAACACCATGCGGTTATGAAATATATGAAAAGCGTAATGCTAAGCACTAACCTTTCAACTTCTTGTCAAATTTCTTATGCTTTGATTTTTCTCTATTTTTGTCTCTTTCTTCTTTAGCTTCTTGGAGTTTTTCCTCACTTCCCCAGATTTCCAAAACTCTCTTCCATATCTGTAGAAAAGATTACTTTTAATGAGACATAATTTATGGACGAGCTTTTCTATCCTTATAAAATGTAGTGATGCACACCGGTACTTATTAATGGACAAATAATAAAAGTGCCAGTGAAGTAGTTGTTATTTTACACATCTTTTCTATGA